TGAGCCATAACATGATGCCTTCCAGCACCTGTATTAGCTGGAATTGGAAGCAGAGTTGGGACTCCAAGCCAGGCTGGGAGGAGGTACCCCAATCAGTTGTGCCAATACCTGCCCCGAGTCCTGGTTTTGAACAGGAGTTGTCAGTGTGCACTCATGAGGGGTTTATCTTCATGTCTCTATATGCTGAACAGGTCTGGAAACAATAACCAATCCAGTTTTAATATACGCCATTCACTGTCAGACTGTGATCTTAAAAGCATCATCTGCTGTTGGAAGAAGCAGAGTGCCTTGAAGAGATGGCTGACTCCGGGTCTAGGACCGGTGAGAAATGAGATGAGCAACTCACACTGAAGGCAAGAAAGCAAGCAGGAAGTACCCAGGACCATCTCCTTTGGCCAAGGCTGGGACAAAGAACATTAATAAGGTCAGCATAATAAAGATTAAATATGTTTAAGCCAGTTCTTAATAGTGTATGTATGTAACTAATTGGCTATATTTTTGAGGGATAATAGGAAACTAACTCATTGTTTTGAAAATGGTATATAAAGGGAGAAGAATCAAATAGTTACATAGGGGCCGAGTGCAATGGCTCGATTAGCTATAACTACACTGGGATCCCATATGGGCACCAGTTCCTGTCCTGGTTGTTCTACTTCCCATACTGCTCGCTGCCTGTAGCCTGGAAAAGCAACAAAGGATGGCCCAAAGCCTTAGGACCTTGCACCCAAGTGGGAGACCTGGAGCGGGCTCCTGGCTCCTGACTTTGGATCAGCTTAGCTCCAGCTGTTGTGACCTTTTGGGGAGTACAATGGATAGAAGATCTTTGTCTCTTCTCTGTAAATCTGCCTTTCCAATAAAGATAAATACATCTTTAAAAAATATAACCAGAAAAGCAGTTATATAAACCACACCTTAAGGCAATGAAATGAAAAATAAAGTCCCTTTATAAAAGTATTCCATCCATCCCAGTGCGATAGTGTAGCGGTTAAAATCCTCACCTTGCACGCGTCAGGATCCCTTATGGGCATCGGTTCTAAACCTGGCAGCCCGCCTTCCCATCCAGCTCCCTGCTTGTGGCCTGGGAAAGCAGGGGAGGACAGGTGTTTGGGACCCTGCACCCGTGTGAGAGACCTGGAAGAGGTTTCTGGCTGCTGGTCACTTGGGGAGTAAACCATTGGACAGAAGATTTTCCTCTCTGTCTCTCCTCCTCTCTGTATATTTGCCTTTCCAATAAAAAATAAATAAATCTTTTTTTTAAAAAAGTATTCCACCCATTACAGTGGGTTTTGAATATCTCTGTTTTACAATCCCCAGTGAGTTGATGAATTTAGGCACTGAGCATTTATGTATGCATCCTTTTTTTTTTTTTTGTAACATCTCAGCATCTTTTAAAATTACATGCTCAGGGGCCTGGCGCGATGGCGCAGTGGTTAAGGTCCTCACTTTGCACACCCGGGATCCCATATGGGCGCCGGTTCTAATCCTGGCAGCTCTCGCTTCCCTTCCAGCTCCCTGCCTGTGGCCCGGGAAAGCAGTCGAGGACGGCCCAAAGCTTTGGGACCCTGCACCCGTGTGGGAGACCCGGAAGAGGCTCCTGGCTTCGGATTGGCATAGCATCAGCTGTTGCGCTAACTTGGGGAGTGAATCATTGGACGGAAGATCTTCCTCTCTGTCTCTCCTCTCTGTATATCTGCCTTTCCAATAAAAATTTAAAAATAAATCTTTTTAAAAAAAACATTAAAAAATTACATACTCAAATTAAAAATAAAAACCCCATTAAAACACTACTCAAATATTGTATACATAATTACTTTCATTACTAAAGGATTATGATATGGACATTTGCTAAGGTTCATTAGGCATAGAACGAAGTAATATAACAGCTAAAACTGAATTTTAGAAGTCTAAAATTTTTAAAGATTCATTTATTTTTATGGCAAAGACAAATATATACAGAGAGGAGAGACAGAGAAAAAAATCTTCTGTCCAATGGTTCACTCCCAAAGTGACTGCAACTGCCAGTGCTGCACTGGTCCAAAGGCAGGAGCCCAGATCCTCTTCTGGGTCTCACACACGGGTGCAGGGTCCCAAGGCTTTGGGCTGTCCTGGACTGCTTTCCCTGGCCACAAAGAAGGAGCTGGATGAAAAGTGGGGCAGCCAGGATTAGAACCGGCACTCATATGGGATCCCGGGTGTGTTCAAGGCAAGGACTTTAGTTGCTAGGCCACTGTGCTGGGTCCAAAGTCTAATGTTTTTAAGCTGGCAACTGGGAAGTAGTGTTATGCACAGAAAGTTTGCTGGGGTAAACAGTAAGAAAACATTCAGAACCACATAGCTGTTTCTACCCTAATGACCCAGGCATGTTCCTTCTTCACCCTATCCTGGAGCTGAGCAAATCCAAAGCCAGGAGCCTGGAGCTTCTTCCAGGTCTCCCACACAGGTGCAAGGTCCCAAGGCATTGGGCCATTCTCAACTGCTTTCCCAGATCACAAACAAGGAGCAGAGAAGTGGAGCAGCTGGAATTCTAGGATTCTGGCATTTGCAGGAGGTTTTAGCCACTGGGCCATTGCGCCGGGCCCTCAGGCAGTTTTTATCACTGCCTAATCATCTGCCACCCAGATATATGGATATTTTGTAAAAGGGTAAGACTAATCTATAGTATAGATCCACATTTGTGAATGTTTAAAATTTTATCTGAAAGGTGGAGTTACAGAGATAGGAAAGAATCTTTCATACCCTGATGGTTTCTCAAATGGCTGCAAGGGCTGGAGCTCAGCCAGTCTGAAGCCAGGAGCTTTTTCTGGGTCTCCCATATGGATGCAAGGGCCAAGGGCTTGGGTCATCCTCTGCTGCTCTCCCAGGCACATTCACAGGGAGGTGGACCGGAAGTGGAGCAACTGGGACTTGAACCCATATGCAATGCGGTGCAAGCTGACTTAACCTACTATGCCATGGTGCCCATAGATCCACGTTTGAACAACAAAACCACACACACACAAATGCAAGGAGGGTCTAGTGCTCACCATAGGATCCACTTGGCTGGTGGGAGAGGTGGTGAAGTCTGGGGTAGGGAAAATAACAGGGCACACTTTAGGTTTCTGGAAAAGTCCTGGTTCTTTCCCTGAGTGATTCCAAGGGTATTCACTTTATAGTAGTTTAGGAAGCCATGCCTTTGTTTTGGTTTTCTGTATGTGTTTTATTTGAAAATACAAATATTGGAAGGATTATCAGCCTAATGGTTAAGAGGCTGACATCCCACACTACAGCATCTGAGTTCAGGCTTAGCTCTGAGTTCCAACTTCCTGCTACTACAGATCCTGGGAGACCTGAGCAAATTAGCTTCTGCCACCCCTAGGGGAGACCTGGATTGCATTCCTAGTTCCGGCTTCAGTCTTAGCCCAGCCCTGGTCACTAGGCAGTGAATCAGCCTTCTCTTTCTCTCAAATAATTTTTTTTTAAAAAAATCAAGTAAAATACAAAGGGCAATTTAGCTAGAGCTTTAGAGCAGGTGGCCCAATTTTATTCTAACGGACACACATCACCCCTGACCCAGTGTGTTGATATCAGACTGGTCCTTGGAACCTTTGCTCCTTGCCTCTTTCCTGAAGGAATTTATTGTCCATTTATTTCCTTAGGAACTGTCCTTTATCTTGCTCATGTCGCTTTGACTGTGGAGATAACAACATGTAATTTAGGCTTGAAGGGTCTACTCTCATTAGTGTGGACAGGTGATGGCTATTGGCATTAAAGTGTTACTGGATGCCTGCTATAGTTCTGAGTTTGACTCTCCAGACTTATGACCTTGACACTTTGGGTGTTGACACATTCCCATTTTATAGATGAAAATACTGAGTCTACCATGTGCTTATTGTCCATATTCTGCTCCTCCTGTAGGTATTATTCGTTGGCTCAGGCTGTTGGGGGGAGCTGAACATGTCACTGGCTGAGGTGCATTTGCAGGACGTTGAATGCAGGTGGAATGGCTGGGACTCACCCCAAGTGCACTGCTCCACTGCTGTGCTCTACACCTGATCAACTCGAGACTGGCACTCCTTGCTTCCCTTACAGGTGTCTGCCATGAGGACTCATTTTGTCATTTTAAGGAGTTTCCATTAATTCCATCTCATTTGTTGAAGTTTGTTCCTTTTTTTTTTTTCCTGGATAGCCTCTTCTTTTACCTACCCTGGTTTCAACATTTGTTCATCTGGATCCAGATCACAGAGGCTATCCTAACGCATGCCTAGGTAATTTGGAACCGTGGTTCTCTCATTAGCTGCTTTTTTTTTTTTCAAAACTCATTTCAGAGCTTACATGAAAACCTGAGTCTCCAGCTCTGGTCCCTAGACCAGTGGCATCTAGGAGTGTGTAAGAACCCCAGGGCTGCTATAAACTTCCCTAGGCTCCACCTGCAGTTTAACCAGATCCCCAGGTGATTCACAGGCACTCTGAAGGTTGAAAAACATGGACTAGGTAATATCTAAGACCCTTACAGTTCTAGAAGCCTCTGCTATGTCACAACAAGCCTGTGGTTTCCTGTGTGGTCCCAGTGTGACTTTCCTGTACCTTTGTTTCATTTCTCCTGCAAGATCACCCTTCTCTCAGAGCATTGTCTTGTAATATGCTTTAGAACAGGGCCTGGCATACAGATCCTAAACACTGAGTATGCTTTCAGGAACAGTGTGGCTCCTGGTTCCACCTTGGGCGCAGAGGCCAGTGTAGCAGGGCCACAGCACAACGGAATGATACCGGCTCTGTGTTTCTGATTACGTACTTGGTAACTTTAGGCCTAGATGTAACCCTGAACAATTTGCCAAGATCCTACCTTTTCAGGACCCTAGGACAGAGGGGCGGAGGTCCGTTCTGGTGAGTCCCACTGATGGGACTCATTGACAGAGCTGTCTCTTCCAGGGGCTGGAAGAACGGGAGCTGTTAGATGGAAGCTGTAAAGATCAGTGGGAAATGACAACAGCACACTTTTTTTTCCCAGCACAAATCTTGTATAAAAGGAATGAGCATCTCATTAAGGGATGGAGCATGTGGAAGGGTTGTGGGCTGGTCTCCTGGCATGCAGAAGATGTTAGTTGCTATCAGGTGGCTTCTATCTCCTGCAAGCCCAGTGACCCCCAAGTCCCAGGTGGGTGTGCTGTGCTTTCCTGAAAGCAGTGACCTTGGTTCACATTCTGCGCACACGATCCTCCAGGGCCTGCAGCTCAGCCAGCACTTCCTTGGGCAGATCCTCATTGACCTGTTCCATCAGGTAGCTCCGGATATCACGCACCTCCTGTTCCCAGAAGTCCTTTGGGAGTGAGAACAGCTGGGTGGTGTCTACAGCCCCCAGGCCGCTGAGATTTAAGGCCCCGTCCTTCGGCACCAGCCCGATAGGTGTCTCCCGGGCACTGTCCTCCCCCTCCAATCGCCGGCAGATCCAGTCCAGCACTCGCGAGTTCTCCCCAAAGCCCGGCCACAGGAAACGGCCAGCCTCATCACGCCGGAACCAGTTGACGTGGAAGATGCGCGGCAGCCGTGCTCCCTGGCGCTCCTCCATGCTCAGCCAATGTTCCAGGTAGCGCCCAAAGTTGTAGCCGAAGAAGGGCCGCATGGCAAACGGGTCATGCATGACGATCTTACCTGAGGTGGGGGGCGGGGGGAGTGGGATGGGTGAGGAATTATCCTCCTCCGACAGGGAAGAGGTGGGGAAGGAAGGGTAATGTGTGGCTGGCAGAAGGAAGCTGTGAAAGGTTCAGGATTCTGGGACATCTTCAGTGTGCGGAAGGGAAGGAATGGGGCGCAGTGGGGTGGGAGAGAGAATGCTTCAGGGCCGGCCAGAGAGTGATGTGGGCATGGAGGATAGGGTGCGATGGGCGGGTCTCACCTTTGTGCTCAGCAGCTGCGGTGGACTCCGAGCGCATGGCACTGCCCACGAACACCCCGTGACGCCAGTTGAAAGTCTCATATACCAGGGGCACCCCTACAAAATCAAGGAACATGGTCCCAGGCAGCTCTTTCCTTGGCACCCTCATGGCCTCCCTTCTGCTGATCACTGCTCTCCGCTTCTCCAAGGACCTCAGGTGGATCCCTCCCAGCCCCCAGGGTTCCTTTCAACATTGCGTTCACCAGGGGAGATCTCTGAATGTTTTGGAAAGCCACAAGCCAAGGATCCAGGCTACGGCCCCCTGGGCTTCATGTACAGTTAGGAGTAGAGGGCAGGCAGTTGGCACAGAGGTTCAAGTTGCTACTTGGCTACCTGCATCCCATGTGGGTTTTGAGTCTAACGTGTCCCATCCCCTCTCAACACCCTCAGGGGAGGCAGCAAGGGACAGTTGAAGCGCTTGGGCCTCTGCCACCCACGTGGGAAACTTGGACTAGGTTTCTGGCTTTGGCTTTGGCTTGGACTTAAGTCCTGGTTTTTGCAGGCATCTGAGTGAACCAGTGGCTAGAGGTCTCTCCTTCTCTGTCTCTCAAAAAAAAATCAGGCAGTAGAAGGAAAGTGAATAAGCAGGTGCACCTTAATACGAAGATAAATATTTAACCAAGAAGGCAGTCAGGCCCACATGTTGCTACCTTTGGGTCTGCGGCCTCCAAAGATGATGGCATCAATGGGGACTCCCTCGGGAGCCTCCCAAGCCGGGTCCATGATGGGGCACTGTCGGGCTGGGGCACAAAAGCGAGAGTTGGGGTGTGCACAGGGCTCCTTGTCACCTGGCAGAGGAAAAACAAATTCCATCACATTCAAAGTCATGTCCGTTCCCAACACCCACATACATATATGTAAATGCAGAATTGCACAATTTCTTTCTGCCTCAATAATTTTTAACAAATTTATGCAGTAAGGATAAGATAGAAGGGGGCCATGATGTCTCCCTCAAAAGATGAACTTACGGGCCTGGCACAGTAGCCTAGCAGCTGGAGTCCTTGCCTTGTATACACCAGGATCCCATTTGGGCACTGGTTCTAATCCTGGTGGCCCTGCTTACTGTCCAGCTCCCTGAAGTGGAGGACGGCCCAGGGTCTTGGGACCCTGCACCCGTGTGGGATATCTGGAGGAAGCTCCTGGCTATTGGCTTCGGATCTGCTCAGCTCTGGCCATTGAGGCCACTTGGGGAGTGAATCATCAGATGGAGGGTCTTCCTCTCTGTCTCTCTTCCTCTGTGTATATCTTACTTTCTAATAAAAATAAATAAATCTTTAAAAAATGAGATTACTTATCCATAAGGGTGCTGCTAGTCAAGCTGTGTGAGAAAAAGAGTAGGAGATAAAAAGGGGTTTCGCAGGCCAGTGATGTTTATGTCCAGCTCCAGGCATCTGCCGTTGACTAGGGCTCAGTGGCATGAAGCTGAGTGTTTGGTGTATAAGATGATCATCTTCCCCCAGAAACTACGGAATTAGCATGTAGACAGATACCTACACCTAAAGCAAAGACTGAGATGATCAGATCAGTATTTCAGACAGTCACCTCTCCACCAGCCATCTGGGGAAGTCAGAACTATCTGTCTGATAGCTCTCCTGAGCTATCAAAGCAGACAGGAATCATTTCCAAAGCTAAGGACACTGTGGTGATTTCTCTGGGCTGCTCTGACCCTAAGGATGCAATGACAGGGCCCGAGAAACTCGGAAAGCAACATTACCTGGGCAGATGTAAACCAACGAGCCCTGTTACCAGGCCCCTTTGGGTGCTCTGGAGAGTGAAGCAAGTGACCAAGTGAGTGGCACAGATGTAATGCAGCACAGTGGGGTCACTGGATGGACACCAGCCTTCTTCATTAAAGGAGGTTATCAGACCTGGGGGTGAGGGAGCCCCAGGGCCAGCACCCCCTGCCTCCACCTGCTTCTGCTCTTCCATAGTCCCATGCAAAATCCTGTCATATGGTTCTACTGTTGTGGGAACTGCAGCTGGGTCCACTGTGGCCTGGCTCCACCCCTGAATTCTGAGATGATGAAAGGGTTGGGGAATGAGCCTGTGGGAAAGGATGAAAGCGGTTCGGATTTTCTCAGTTGGGTGGAAAGACTGAGAGGGACTTAATAACGGTGCTAGAGAAAATGAAGGATGATTACATGACGAGGGTAACCCCTGGGCTAACCTGGGACGCTGCACAGTAAGCTTGAATGCCACCAGGCCGCTCTCCCCCACCATGCTCTTTGCCTCCACAGGCTCTCTAGCTGTAGGTCACAGAACACCAGAGGCCCAAAGTGCAGCGTCGTGGGTGGCAAGGGCAGCAGTGGAGTCTAATGACCGGGTAGGGAAGCCAGCTTAAAGCACTGGGCTAGCCAAGTTTGGGAGAAGGACTAAGATCAGTGTGCCGGAAGGACAGGTCAAGGGGGAGGGTAACAACATTGACCTTCAGACAATGGTTATTGTACAGAGGACAGCAGGAGCCAAGCGGCAGGAGGGCTGGCCAGAGGAGGTAGGACTTCTGATTTCCTTGATGGATCAAATTTTATGGATTGGGCTCTGAGCCCAAATCTTTCTTAGCAATTCTCAAAGCAGTATTTTTTTCCTTTTTCTTTCTTTCTTCCTCTCTCTCTCTCCCTTCTTCTTCTTTTTTTTAATGCAACTTGCATTTTTTACTGATAATTTACTATATATTTGGCATTGGGGCAGACCCATTTAATCATTGCTCAATGTAATCCTCCAATATTCTTATGAGACAGGTAGTATAATAACTGCACCCATGCAACCAAAAGGAAGATGACATGAGGGAGGACAAGTAACTTTGCCAAATCACAAAACCAGTATCAATGATGTAGCTGCAACACGAACCAAATTCTTCCCCGGGGTTGGGAACTGCCAAGATTTCCAACTCCTTGTGTTTCCTGCAGACCTCAGATGACTACTGGGAGCTTTGTCCATGACTTCCCCAACCCACCTACCAGGCTTCCAGGGTTTTCCCAGCCAGGAGGTCACAGTGACACCAGCAGGAAGAGGCTGATCAATGCCCTCCCAGTACACGCCTCCATCGCTGGTCTCAGCCACGTTGGTAAAAAGAGTGTTACTCTGGATAGTGGCCATGGCGTTGGGATTGGTGGTGGCAGAGGTGCCAGGGGCCACGCCAAAGAAGCCGTTCTCAGGGTTGATGGCCCGCAGGCGACCTGTTGTGAGGAAACATGAAATAAAGGGAGGCCAACACCAAGGGAATTGAGATGTGAAGCTGAAAGTTTTGATCTACCCCCAAACCCACCCCATGGCCTTGAACTAGACACACTAAGAACAGACTCTGTGGTTCTTGGCTGGGAGGCATGGGCTGGCTTGGGTATTGAGCATAAGGTTCTCATGTACAATGTTCACCACGAACACTGATAGAGCCAGAAGCCAGGGCATTGACCCAAGGGGCCCCTCACCGTCACTGTCGAACCGCATCCAGGCAATGTCATCCCCCACACACTCCACTTTCCAGCCTGGGAGTGTGGGCTGCATCATGGCCAGGTTTGTCTTGCCACAAGCACTGGGGAAGGCAGCTGCCACATAGCGCTTCTTTCCTGCAGGGCTGGTGATGCCTAGGATCTGTGCATGGAGGATAGAGGGGACATGGTTGCCAATAGTCGGGTTTGGTTGGTAGGAGGCAGGACATCCCAATGTGCAGTCATTAAGGTACATGCACTGCCCTGCCACCCAATAGCCTAGGACCAAAGCTTTGGGCAGAGTCCTTGTTCAGGAAACTGACACCAGGCAAGGGGGAGGTGAAGCTGAGACAAAGGCGGAGGCAGATTGGCGCAGATTGGCTCAGATTGGCCCGCCCCTGCTCTAGCCCCTGCCATCGCCTGGATCCTCACCAGTCCCTCACCAGCATGTGCTCGGCCAGCCAGCCCTCATCCCGGGCCAGGCGCGAGGCGATGCGCAGGGCAAAGCACTTCTTGCCCAGCAGAGAGTTGCCACCATAGCCGCTGCCGAAGGAGACGATCTCCCGCTGGTCAGGCACATGGCCAATCAGGGTTTTCTCTGGGTTGCATGGCCACTGGCTCACTGGATCCCCTGGGGACAACGGGGTCATGGGCTACTGGCAGTGACATCAGGAACTGGGGGTATCGGGGGTGAGAGGGATCAGGGAACACACTCTGCAAGGGCAGGCTAAACCCCCACCAACATCCTCAGAGCCGTCAGCTCCCCAAGCCTTCTGTGTTTGGGCTTGGGAGGCTGATCTGGAATTGCAGCCTTACCCTGCACTCAGGCTGCTGCCCTGCAGCCTGGGGTTCAGGATTCAGCAAGGACAGGTTTCCAGGGTTCCAGGGTGTATGGGATTTGGGGTTTCCTCTAAGCACTGGAAGCTCCTTTGGGCAGAGCAGGGGCTCACCTGGCCCAGTCAGGGGTTGACCCACGGAATGCAAACACTTGACAAAATCGCCATCTCCCAGGGCCTGAAGCACGGGCGTCCCCAAACGTGTCATAATCCTCATGCTGGCCACCACATAAGCCGAATCGGTGAGCTGTACCCCAATGCGGGCCAGTGGGGAGCCCACGGGGCCCATGCTGAATGGAAGCACATACATGGTGCGGCCTGCAGAAGAGGAAAATGTGCCCTGGGTGAAGGCATCCAGACCTGGCCTCTACCCACCACGCCCCTGTCCCTGGGCTCCTGCCCTGATTACCCCGCATGCAGCCTGGAAACCTCTCATCCACAGCTTGCTGGAATTTGGCCGGGGACATCCAGTTTCCCAGCTGTCCACGGGCGCCGCCAGCTGGTAGGGGCACTGTGTCCCGCTGAGAGGGGGTAACAATCACTGTCTTGCTCTCCACGCGTGCCACATCCTGGGGGTCTGTGCGGGCCAGCCAGCTGGGGGAGAAGATGTTGGCAGGAAGACAGTGGCTAGTGACTCTCCATTGTCCCCAGACTTGCTTCTTCAAGGTCAAGTCTGACTCCAGATCGTCTATTGGCCTTATTTGTTCCCCAACCAATCATACCTCAGTCTCTCCCTTGTCCCATTTAAGGGATGCTTTCCCTAGGCCCTGGGCCCCTTAGCCAAAGCTCCCCGAATTGGGAAGAGGGGGAAGAGGAAGAAGGGAGGAGGAGGAGAAGAAAAAGCAAAGCTCTTCTTTACCTCAGCTTCCTCATTTATTATAAATGTCCAATGTAACTTCAAATAGTTTGTGGAAAGTGTAATTAAAAGATAAGCTTATTTTGGCACAAAAAATTTTGTAATTCATGCACAATAAGGAGTCTTGAAAAAGTTTGTGGAACATGCACATTATGGAAAAAAATTTGCATGGATTTCAACTTTTGGCACCAAAATGAACTTAATTTTTTTGAAAAAAATTATTTATTTTGAAAGTCAGAGTTACAGAGTGGGAGAAAAAAGAGAGAGATCCTCTATATGGGTTGGTTCACTTCCAAGATGGCCACAATGGCCAGCCAGCCAGCAGCCAAGGGCTTTATCCTTGTCTCCCACATGGATATAAGGGGCCCAAACACTTGAGTCATCTTCTGCTATTTTCCCTAGGTGCATTAGCAGGGAGCTAGATTGAAAATGGAGCAGCTGGCATGTGAATTGGTGTCTATATGGGATGCTGGCATTGCAGGTGGCATTACCTGCTTGGTCATAATGCTGGCCCCAATAAAACTTCTCTTTAAATGGACTTTTTCCATGAACTTTTGGAGTATCCTTGTACCAACCAATCCCAGTTCCTGCACCTGTTTCCCCTCAGGCCTCCTATTCTTGCTCATTCTATTGGGATGGTATAAATTCAATTTTTTCTTGGTAAACCCAATATGGCCCCAATGGAAGCAGATGCCTTGTCTCACAGGTTGCTGGGTTCCAGGCTTACCAGTTATCATACTTTGAGAGTTTTCGGATGAGGCCCTGTTGTTCCAGCAGGGCCAGAATGGCAGTATTCTCTGCCTCGGTCCCATCACAGACATGGATGCCCTCTGGTTGGCATAAGCGGGCACTGCGTTCCACAAAGTCTCGGACTCTAGTAGGCAGCTGGCCCAGATCTCCACTGAGCATGCGTAGGGTCTGGATACTGCGGCGTGATGACCAGCCCCAGGGGCTCAGTCCATGCCAGCTGAGCCTGCAAGACAAGAAACAGGGAGGTGATGAGCCCATTGCTGCAAGGGTAGGCAGATGTGTGTGCGTTTGTGAGTGAAGCCTGGGACTCCCTTGGGGCTGAGTTAAAGCACGCCTGGGTGCAGGAACCATAAAGAGCAAGTTGGGGTTGGTGTGTGGGATGAGTGTGGGCCACAGGCATCTTGTGGCTTTTATGGGAGTCATTTCCTGGTCTGCATGGGACAGGCATGGCTGAATGTGCACCGAGGCACCTGGGTAGCCATGTGGAAGTGCACCTGTAGGTCTGCTGATGCTCACACTGGCATAGCCCATGCCCACGTCTCAGCACGTCTGCTCAGTGTTTAGAAAGAAGCAGGGTGTAGAGAAATGATCCAGGGGATATAGCTCTATGTGTGCAGATCCTTCCTCATTCATGTTCTGTCCTCAAGCATAGTTGTCAGAGACCAAAGACACCAAGCAGCCAAATTGCAATTTTCTGTATGTAAACTCAGCAACTCTGTTTTTCTTTTTCCACGTCAGATGGGTAATGTGCCGATGTCGTAACAAGGTTGTCTCACGCAGAGGCACATTATCACACAGACGTGTGTTAACCCAATCATCACACTTAAGAACCACAAAAGGATCTGTTTTTCTTTCTTTTTTTTCTTGTTGGTGTATATGCTGTCAGACTGTGAAAAACCCTGACCACTGGGAAATGAGTGTCACTGGCTGGGGCTTAGGCTTTAGTTCCCAGGGGGAAGGTTCTCCACTGTCTGTTCTGTGACACTCCCCCAGAACAAGAGAAGTAGGGGCTCTGTGACTGGCTTGGATCCAGGGTGCAGTGACCCAGAGGGTGCAAAAGCCAAGGTCTCACTCATCAGAAACTGCCCCCCCCAAAACAGGACTGAGGGGAGCAGTGCCTTCCTTTCCCTCCTTGGCTAGAAGCCACAGGCCTAGGGAATGGTCCAGGGTAGGGTGGGGTGGAATGGGGTGGCTGGGCCACTAGTCTGCAGGGAGCTCTGTCTAGGAGGTGAGAGCATGGGGAAGGCTGGCTGACGTGGAAGCTGAAGTGGTTTCCACTGGTCAGAGCAGGATGGGCATCGGCATGGCTGGGAGCGGGAGCCTGCCCTACTGGGGCCAGGGTCTGTTCCTGCCTCAGATGCCTGTCCCTGTGCATTCTTCTTAAAGGGATTGCCCCTAGCCCCGGAAAACTGCCACCCCTCTCCCTGGATCTCTTGCAAAGCACCCACTCCTTCCTCCTGTCCCCTTCCAAAGCAGAACCAGCTGTGGACAGACTTGGGGATCAGTTCAGACTCTGCGATAAAAGCTGGGCAGGAGACTTCGGGAGGGACAAGAGGAGGCTGCACACGAGATGGGAATCTAGGTAGGACGCCACTAAGAGCCCCTGGCCTGGGCAGGGGAAGAAGGCGGCCATGCAAGACACGAAGGCCATTTGGTCCCCTCCTCCCCCACTTGCTTCCCTCTCTCCCGCTGGCTCCAGGTCCCTCTGGCGGGCGTTGGGCTTCCTGCCAGGTAGCAGTCCGGGAGTGGGGCCCAGTCGGATGTTTACCTTCTACCCCCTTTAGGGAGCTCTGGACTCAGGGGCCCCAGGGGCTGGCGCACCTTGGTCCTAAAGCCCCCTCTGACTCCTCACAGCACCCCGGGGCGCGGACGAGGACTCCCCCACCCACCGGGCTCTGAGCACGTTCTAGCTGCTGCGAGGGCACCAGCAGCCAGGGCGAGCGGGCAGGAGAGGAAGTTCTGAAGTGGCCGACAGAGAGGGCGCGGAGGGGGAGGAGCGCCCGGGGACGTGCGGGGCCGGCGCGCGCGGCCGCCAGACCTCGGGCAAGGCGCACGCGGCCGAGGGAGGCAGGAGTGCCTGACCAAGGTCTGCCCACCCGCTTCCCCCAAACCCCGGCCCGTCTCCGCCAAGGATGGGAAGCCGGGGTACAGGCGACCCCGAGGGGGGCCACAGCAGCGGCAGGTGCGGATCGGCCCCCAGGCTTTGGGCGGTGGAGGGCTCACTCACCGCAGGCCGGGGCGGTACGCTGCGGCCATGATACCGGGGCGGGGGGCTGCGGGTGATCAAGGAACCGAGAGGAGCCGGGACTAGGGGACGTGGGAGACGAGCGGCGAAGCAGCGGGAGCTGAGGCTGGGCGGGAGGCGCCTAAAAAGGAGGCGGGCGGGCCAGGGGCGGACCCTCGCGCCCCACTCTCCGCCCTGCCCACAAGCCCCGCCAGCTCGGCCCGCAGACGTGCTCCCAGGGCGGTCGCCGGGCCGCCCTACATACTAGCCCAGGAGCCCATTTCTGCCATTGGTGGACAGCGCCGGCTCCTCACTGTCCCCAAGCAGGCCCGCCCCCACCAGGCCCCACCTCCCCGCCATCCCGCCGGTGATGTAACTTTGAGGACTCTTGCTCTCTCCCGGGAGATAGCAATTGAGAGACACTGGGAGGCAAACAAGCTGGAAAAGAGGGAGGAGGCGGCCCGGGGTCCCTCGGTGTTGTTAGCTGAAGTCGGGGGGTTGGGGAGGGGAGCATGGCCTTACCTGTCACTCACAGCCCGGGATTGTTGTTCCCCAAGGTTCCAATGTTAAGGCCCCCCTTTTCTTTCTTTAACTTACCAGGACCCCTTTCTTCTGTACTGTTAAGTGGTGATGGTGGGGACTCATCTGCTTCCTCCATGAAGCTTTCCGGGGGAAATTTCTCAAGAGGTGTTGCTCTTCAGTCTTTTCTCTGCAATGTGAGATCACTGGACATTACCCCAAACGCCACAGCACCTGACACGTGGCATAGTCTTAGCCCCTGCTCCCCCTCCTTCTGGGAGTATCACCCTGACTTTCCTTTGGCGGGGGTGGGGGGAACCATCTGCTTTTTCTTGTATGGTGAGGTGGATTCAAGTCACGCTTCCTTGGAGGACTCTCACCCCTCAGCCAGTTTGTACATTTCCTGCTCCCACCACAGCCTTTGGGGTGTCCAGGTGGAGCGGGGGAGTGAGATCCCTCTGTAAACTTGGAGAGGAATTGTTTCTGCTGACACTGCTAAGCTGGCAGGCTATTGGCCTCTCTAGTTCAGGTTGGCCCCCTGGGAGCCTGCTGGGGACAGAGGGTGGTTGATTATAGGAATCAGTACATTTCTTTGCTTGCTCAAGCTATTTTTTTTTTTTTTGGCAGAGATTTATTTTTATTTGAATACGGAGAGAGAAAGAGGTCTTCCATCTGCTGGTTCACTCCCCAAGTGGCTAAAATGACCAGTGCTCGGTCAATTTGAAACCAGGAGCCAAGAGCTTCTTCCGGGTCTCCCGTGTGGGTGTAGGGGCCCAAGCACTAGGTCCATGTTCTGCTGCTTTCCCAGGCACATTAGCAGGGAGCTGGAAGGGAAGTGGAACAGTCAGGATATGAATTGATGCCCATAGGGGATCCCAACACATGCAAGGCAAGGACTTTAGCCACTAGGCTACCGTGCCTGACCTTTAAGCTGAGTTTTAAAAACGATTCATTTATATATTTGGAAGAGTTTTACAGACAGGACGAGAGAGAGAAAAGAAAATCTCTCACTTTTAAAGATTTATTTTCCTTTGGTAGAAAATCAGATATAGAGAGAGGAGGAGGAGAGAGAGAGGACGATCTTCTGTCCGTTGATTCACACCCCATGCAACCTCAATGGCCAGATTCGAAGCCAGGAGCCTTGAGCCTCTTCCAGGTTTCTCACACGAGTGCGGGATCCCAAGGCTTTGGGCCATCCTCCACTGCTTTCCCAGGCTACAAGCAGGGAGCTGGATGGGAAGTGGAGCTGTCAGGATTAAAACTGGCAGCCATATGGGATCCTGGTGCATGCAAGGCAAGGACTTTAACCGCTAGGCTATCGTGCCAGGCCCTCTCTCTCTCTCTCTCTCTCTTTTTAAAGATTTATTTATTTTTATTACAAAGCCCAATACATACAGAGGAGTAGAGACAGAGAGGATGATCTTCCATCAGATGATTCACTCCCCAAGTGACTGCAATGGCTGATGCTGTGCCAATCCGGAGCCAGGAACCAGGAACTTCCTCCAGGTCTCCCACATGGGTGCAGGGTCCCAAGGCTTTGGGCCATCCTGTCCTGCTTTCCCAAGCCACAAGCAAGGAGCTGGATGGGAAGTGGAGCTGTCGGGATTAGAACTGGCACTTATATGGGATCCCAGCGCATTCAAGGCAAGGACTTTAGCCACTAGGCCGCCGCACTGGGCCCTCTCTCTCTCTTTTTTTAAACATTTATTTTTATTGGAAAGGCAGATTTACAGGGAGAAGAAGATACAGAGAGATCTTCCATCCAACAGTTTGCTCATTAAGTGGCTACAATGGCCAGCGCTAAGCTGGGCTGAAGCTAGGAGCCAGGAGCTTCTTCTGAGTCTCTCACGTGAGTGCAGGGCCCCAAGACTTTGGGCCATCCTCTATTGCTTTCTTAGGCCACAAACTGGAAGTGGAGCAGCCAGGACACAAACCACCACCCATATGGGATCCTGGTGCATGCAAGGCTAGGACTTTAGCCACTAGGCTACCACTCAGGGCCCAAAGAGTGAGAATCTTCCAGCGGATTAATTCACTCCAAATTGTTGCATCCTGAAACCAGAGACCAGGAACTCCATCTGGATCTCCCATTTGGATGACAGAGACCCATGCACTTGGCCATCTTATACTGCTTTCCCAGGCTCTTTAGCAGGGAGCTGGATTAGAAGTGGGGCTTTGGAAACTTGAATTGCCAACTCATACTGTGTGATGGCGGCATCACAGACAACAACTTAATGTGCTGTGCTGTAACTCTGGCCCTTGACATTAATTTCATGATGATTTCTGCCAGGTGCAATAAAAACAATCTGGATTCTCAGATTTCTGAGTCCTGTGCTGGCTTCCAGCAGTGGGCTTGCTGCTCTTTGCTGTGTCTCCCCATTCCAGCATCAACCTGCATGCAACATGGTCTCTTCCCTCAGTCCCAGCCCAACCCTGCACACCTAGCTTGTTGTGAAGCAGCTGCCCTCTTGGCTGCTGTTGCATTCTAAAGGTGTACACATTCCTGGGAATGTGGCCGGCCTTCTGAAAGTCATTTACACTCATAATCCTGCACCTGTTCCCATGGTTCTCTGTCTCAGAAAATGGTCCCACTGTCTAGCCAGTTGCTTGAAGGGAGTCTGCAGAAGTCTAGACCATTCTTATCCTCCACAGGTAGTCGGACCCCAGGGCCTTTGGATTTGTGCTTTCTGATTAGCTCTGAAACTGTGTCTGTCTCTATGCCCGTTGCTTCAAGTTCATGACTTATCTCTCCCCTGGCTCCAGGTGTTAGTTTCCAAGACGCCTCTTGGCTGCTTGCCTCTCCAAACAGCACTCCCTTTCCCTTGACCCTGTCACACCTACACTGTGCACATAAGTTCCCGCTGGAGACTTAAGAGAGGGATATTGTCTGTGCAGTGGCTCCGTGCCAGCTGCTCAACGTGGGTAAGCTCATTGCGTCTCCCAGCAACCCTGTTTGACAGGTGTGGACAGCGAGTCTTAGAGAGGTTGTGCTGTTTGCTCACCATCACACATCTGGTCAGCAGGAGAAATAGAAGCAGAATCCAATTCTTTCTGACCCTAATGACCAAATCTGCTCTCTTACAGTCTTTTCCTCCCTCCTTGACTGATTATTTTAAAATTATATCCTATCACTGTCTGTCTGAAGACCCCTCCTGGGCTGCCAATTGTGTGGCACCTGATGGTCTTCATGATCTGGCTCCAAATGATTTAACATTACCCTCTCATCTCTCCATGTGCCTTCTTTCCTCTTATGTGCTGAGCTCAGCATTCCCAAGGCATCTCCTAGAATCTTTTCTCCCCCCTCAGAACTCAGACTCAGAATCACCTCCAGCTCAGCGCATTTCTATTGCTCTAACAAAATGTCTGAGACTAGCAATTTGTAGAGGAACAGAAGTTTGGTGTGTGGCCCTGCAGGCTGGGAAGTTCAAGAGCATGGCGCTGAGCACATGGTGAAGGCCTCATTGCTGCTCCTGTATCTGGGCAGATTAGCATATCATGGGGAGATACAACAAGTTGCCAGTGCAGGACTGTTCCCTATAATGCCATAAATGCTACCACAGGGTCCCTACCCTCATGGCCTTCCCAAAGGCCAATCCTCCAACCCCCCTCAACATATAAATTTGCTGGCTAAGTTTCCAGCACGAACTTTTGGAGGGGTACCTTAGAACCACAGCAACTTCCCATATGAGCCATTCTGGTATATCGCCTCTTAGCATTAACATCTATTTCCTTCTCTGTATTGGTTCTGTCCCAAGTGTGTGCCTATATTTCTGGGCTCACACTTCACTGCAATTATTTTAGTGTTTCTTTTTTTGTAGTGCCAGGACGAGGTGGACAAAGTCAGCCTGGGCCAATGATCCACTGGTGTGTGGGAGAACTGCCACTGGGAGGAGACTCGATGGAGGAGCTTGGGAAATTCCTCCATTGGGATGCAGTCTCAGCAGGTGAGTGCAAGAAGCAAGGCAAGGAGCAGCCTAGACAACGCTAGGTTACAGAACCCACCAGCATACATGTGGATCAGGTCTGGGGACAGACCAGTATGGGCCAGTACATAGCACCAACTGGGCAGGGGGCAGTAGGAGACAAAATGAGCTGCAACACCAGCTAGTTCACATTAGGACCAGAACAGCAATCAGACTGGGCTGGGATAGGCTGTAGCACCCATCAGCAGGAGCTGGAACAGGGGGCAGACTAGACTAGGCCAGGCTGCGTAATCAGATTGTGGATGCTGAGGTGAGGCGAATCATGCCAGCTTGGGCCCAGTGGTGGCTGGGTTCGTGTGTCCCAGGGATGAGGAATCTGACAGGCCTCAGGTAGCTTGGCATAGATCCTGAGGTCCACCTGTGTGGTGGGGGCTGGGTTCCTGATCCCAGGGACTGGGGAACCTGTGGGGCTTGGGTCACCTGGCCCAGATCTGGGGCCTGCTTGTGAGGTGGGTGTGGATTTATAAGCCCCGGGGGTGGGGGATCCAGCAGGGCCTGGGTTGCTGGGCCCAGGTCCTGCCTACTAAGTGAGTGCTGAGTTTGTAAGCCCCAGGGGTGGGGGACCCAGCAAAGCTTGGGATGCTTGGCCTGGGTCCTTGGACTCGCTGCAAGAACATGTCCTACT